TCCGCGGCTTACTTAGCCGAGTCGGGGAACATGCAGTGCGTGCAGTGAGCTTGGGGCGTTGTTGCAGCGGAGCTGACGGCGCCCGGGAAAGGCGGCTCGATCAGGCACAGCTCGGCTGGCATAGGTTCGTGGTGTGGTGATGGTCAGAAATAGGTGAATAAATGGCTAATTATCCATGTCCTGCCTGTACAAGTAACTGCTGCGGTTTGCTGTGAAGATTTTGAGCGAGCTATCCCTTGACAGCTAGTTAATGGTGGTAAATGTCAAATAACGAAAACCACATCTTTTCAGAGGAGAAAATAGTTATACAGAAGGTTTTGCAATATTGTAGATAACCTCACTAGGGATTGCTTCAAATGAGTAATTCAATGGTCCTGTTGTGTCTAGTAATTTGAATATCCTGAGAGATGTATAGAGTGTTTTACGGGGAGTGCTAGAAGACATTCATGACAGCCTCTTCTAAATCAGCACACCACATGTCAAATAGAGAAAGATAGCTATTTTGACATTGAAGATGTAAGGGAACTAAATAAAACATAAGGAATATGCTTGGTAGAATCTGTCAACCCAACTTGGACAATTGGACAAGTGATGTTCAAATACAACAGTCCGAGTTCTGGGATTAACTTATCGCTTAACTACCCCACCACATCGTGGGTGGGTGCGTCTCACCACAACATTACTTTGCATCAAGAATGAATATATTTGTAGCTTCAATGTCTTGGTATATTAGGATCACCCTCTTTATATATATATAAAAAAAAAAGGTCCTCTGCATCTCTCATACCTATTAATCCAATATTTATAACCTCTTGATCTGCATCGTGGATGTCCTTTTGAATCTCCTCCACCCGCTGAGCTTTAATCTACTAATTGGCATTCTTAACCATCATTATACCTCCTATACTGCATACTTGACAACATGTATTTTTCATTTGAAGACATTTGGCTGTCTGCAAGTGATGTAATACATTCTATCATAGTGATCAATTCACATGAAAAGTTCAAACTGAGGACAGCATTATAATCAGGTTGAGAGGTTAGAACTCATTCTGAATGTTCTTTTTCTTCTTGAAATACAATCTCATTCATATTATAGAGATCTCTCTCTCGTATTTGATATCTCAATATTGTGATCTTCAATCTGTCATATCATATTTGAATGATGTAAATATCTTCTATAAAGAGTTATTTAAATCAATTGACTTCTGTTTGATTCATCTATACTCTGAGAGACATTTGATAAATCTATAAGATCACATCTTTCTCACAGTAGAAGAATTGATCTCAGAATCAATGGAATTCTGAACAAGAATCAAATTTATGAAATTCTGAATATTATCAATGATTGAAGGCTGTTCAACTCTATTCTGACTATTTATCTGTTTAATTCACTCTTTTACTGCCTTCTTCTGAGCTTCATTTAACATCTGATTAATTGGCTGTTTCTTCATCTTTGATTTGATCTCAGTAATACAGCAGTGAAGGTAGGAATAGAGCATGTTAAATTCTCAAGCCAATGGCTTGACTTTTTGTTTTGAATTGCATTTATACATGTCAAAGGCATCTTGAACCCTTTTCTCAATAATTTCATTTTCAGTAGTCATATTGTAAGTGGTTAATTGATAATAATAATGTGATGATAGATGAATTAGATAAAGGTAACATTGTGGTGATAATATCGTTGTGGTGAGGCGCACCCACCCAACGATGTGGTGGGGTAAGCGAAGGCACGTGTATCTTGTGCCTGGAGTTTAACTGTCTTGAACCAGGATGGATCCCCGGCGTTGAGGTTCTCGAAGCAAGTATCTGATAGGTCCCCGATGAAAACTTGATAGGTACACTGAGTTTGCTTGGTTCCGGAAAGTTTAATTAACTTTAAAAATTGCAGTTGCCACTCAGCATTAAATAGAAATGAACCAGGAGGAGGCGCCCGACAGTTGAAATTGTTGTAGCTCTGCATTGCAGGAGAGTCTATTTTTAGCCCGTTTCTTGGCATTTGTTAACCTTAATCAAAATAAGGTTCTAGGCATTTTTGAACCTTCACATTCCTGATCCCTCATCGTCTTTCTATCGTCCGTCATCTCGCACTAGCTGTTAGTTACCTTGAGAAATTTTGCCATCATGACCAATTTTTTAGGCTCTGGTGTTCTCTTAATCATCTATCTCGCGACAGTTTCAAACTGGGAGAAAAAGATCTAGCTCTAAATAGTAGCTGCACATTGAATGTGTTATATAGACACCTCACTAAATAACTAATGTGAACAAAATCAGGTAAGATTATATGAAGCTTCAATTATATTTGTCTTTGGTATATGTTGCTACGTTAACCCATATACATATTTAGAACTTTTCACTTTGAGATTGTTCATTTTATCCCCCCATTAGAATGACACGTTAGGTGCATGTCGCTCACTTCATTTCGTGATCTTATCAGTGAGCAGGGCCTCTCCGTAGTTGGAACACACAGAGTTGACGATGTTCTCAATGGAGACAGGGCGAGACACAATCCGAAAACAAATCATCCCGAAGAGGCACCGTTGCTGCTGCCGCAACATCTGCAAGTGACCGACTCTCAACAGGTACAGAACTTGCCATGTTTGAGGGGTTTCTTTGATATGCACGAAATAATTGAAGAGAGTGCCTCGGAGAGTAGAATTGAGTCGTGTTGATATACTCATCTGGTAAGCCTCCTAGGTGTCAAATGGAGTCGGTGTTGTCACTGTTGTGCTGGTCACAATCCACTTCTGAAATGATGAATCTGCCTTACCAACCCCTGGACTCCCGTCCGCATCTGCTTTCTCCCTCCCTTCATATTTCATATCTGCCTTGACGTAACGGTTCCCATAACAGTGGACGAAGAAATTCATATCAGTCAGAATAATCGTGCCGGTTTCTGTCCTGATGAGACCAGGGTTTATTTGGCGCTGGCAATTGGGTCGGCTTGACGGTGAATGGAAAATGGGAGCCAAAAGCTAGAGGACAGGATCTCGCGAGCTTATAGGGAACGAAGAGCCGAAAAAAGGTTGCCGATCTTGCTTTTGTCATTGTTTCCTTGCTTGCTAAAACTTTGAATCTCTTTTCTTTAGTCTTTAAAAACAACAGGGTGAAATGATTACCTCCTTCTTTGTTAAATGTTCTGAAGTGTAACACAACCAAAAAGGCGTCGGCTTTTCGTCTGATCTCCATCGTCCGGGCTGGTGTGTGCATTGCGCACGAACGCCAATATTAAATATGGAATGGTGTTCGGTTATCAGTTTCCCGCCCACGTACCTTACCTGGTTGATTGTTTCTCAGGCGTCCACCTCACGGGTGGTGGATTCTGGGTTTTGCGCCGCCAAATCGACTATACCACGGCATAATATCTGGCCCAAGTCGTTTTCAGTTCTCCTGGCTTTGATATCATCGAAAATTGTATTTGGGAGAGAGGTTTTGGGAGAGGACAAAGATCCACATTATTATTATTCGTTGGCAACTCCCGCAGAAACGGATGCTCCAACTTCTGGATTCCCCATGATGGAAAATGCCGCTTTAAATGCTGCGACGCAGGTCCGGACATATCCTCTAGGAATGGAACCCAAGGCACCAACTGCAACCTCGAACACGAGAAACTGGAAGGTACAGTACAAAAGTTACCCCACAAAACGTAGCGGCTAAAAATTAGTCAAGAAAGTGCAGTTGAGGAACCTGCGGAATGTCAGAAAAAGAAAAAAAAAAAAAAGAAAAAAAGAGGGTAATTTCTTGGATTTTTGATCATATTTTTTTTTTTCTTGTCACGCCCTGGCTTTGACACCTGGCAGAAAGGGACGCAAATAATTGGGTGGATTTCAGACTGGGTCCATCCATCTTACACTTGAGGAGAGCATAGGGTAATTTATTTTTTTTCCTCCTCCTCTAAATTCTTGATCCTAATCCAAAAGAATAATGCGGTCTACACTGCGTATGTCTGCTGGCAAGAGCAAAGCTCATCCTCATCTCGCATACAGAGTACTCTCTATTCCCAGAGAAGTCACCGAGGCGCCGAAACCCCTTCGTATATCTGGCCAGGGCGAGGCGCAAAGTGAGTCAAACACAGCCCACGCTAACCCCGAACTGGCCTACATTGGCCTGCCAGGTCCCGTGAGACCGCGACCTGGACCGACCGCCGTGTAGTCTTTTGTAGGCTACCGGGGCAAAAGAGCTCAGTCACCACCAGCGCTGCTGGTAGAAGGGCCGATCAACCCCCGGGACCCCCAACATCTTTGTCAGAAAAAGTATAGATTACCGAGGAGGTACTTGCATTTGCGTGAAGGAAGAGGCAAGTCACGGAGTCCACCAAAGGTACCTGATTCCAGCGCGCTCCACTTGGCTTTGCGATTGCGGGGCTTTTAGCGCGTTCAAGGTGGAGAGAAGGAGCAAGCCATTGGCCAATCAGGAGCCAGCATGCGCTATGACTCACACCCGAGACACCGGGAACAACACACTAGTCCATGTTAGATCTAGCGGCTAAATCGGGGTACCCAGCTGGGCCTAGCGTCTATGGTTCTTCGGCGCTAATTCAGCCTCAGGCGCTAAGCTGTTTTGGGACACCTACCAGCAGCCGCAAGCCATGCCCGCGCTTTAATAGATGCCTGATTCCCACTTCTGACTTTTTTCTTTTCCCCCTCCGTAAAATCTCCCCTCCCTCCCACAACATCATCCATCATACATCAGACCCAAAAACTCTACCCAGTCCAGAGACGCACATAGACTATAATCAGGGTTTCAATCAAAGTGTTCCAAATTATGGCCTCCTTCTAAGCCTTTTGGCTTTCTTTTACCTTTTCTGTCTCTCCTAAAAGGACAGACACCATAGCTTCCATCCACTCTCCAGAGTTAAATATCTCAACTCCCCCTTCAGAGTCTCCTTTTTCAGGATCTCTGAACTCCAGCATCGCTACGCGTGGCTCCAGTTCTTCGCTCCGACCAAACATTTCCCCGTTCGACGTTACGTCGTTCACCACGGACAAACTACAGTCAACATGGCCTTCTCAACCCCCATCATCGCAGCCTCTGGCTCAACACTCCACACTCTATCCTCAGGACGACTTTGTGCTATACCCCAGCCCTTCGCGCCGACAGACCTCTCGCAACGGTACTCAGCTTGCGAGCCCATCCAGCTCCAATATCCCTAGGGCCTATCCCCAGTCTTCTTCGGATTTTGCCTTTAATTACACTCAGGATTCTCGACGGCATTCGTATCATCCGCAGCAGCTTTGTAACAATCACGTATACAGCGGCTTGCCTGTCCAGGATCCCCGAGTAACCAAGGTTATTTCACAGTCTCAAGGGTTCTCTACTTCGTCTTCCAGCAAACAGTCTAGTCCATCCGGTGTGAGGCCCCCAAGTTTCTACGCGGCTTCAGTCCCGTCAAATTCGCCTCGAACCCATCGTCCCCCAGTTCCATTGTTTAGTAATAGCGCGGAGAATATTTCCTATCAGAATTTGAACGTTCAGCAACCTCATCGTCGTATTATGTCTACATCTAGTATCCCGCAAGGTATGTGTTGGATATCAGAATCTGATTTCCTCCAGTTGTAATCATTTTGTATTCTAACGCTCTATACCAGATTTTGACGAGCTACTCGACTTCCCTGCCAACCACACGGCGGAGGACTTCGTGTCGTCTCCTGGTGTCATTGATTTCACTTCTATCAACGATTCTGTAAAGATGGGGAATCCGGTGACTGTGTCACCAAAGGATCTGATGTTGGATGCGGCTTTCCCGCCTTCAACATCCTTCACAGACATCAGCACTCCTTCTTTCGACTCTCCCGGTTATTTCAGTCAAAACACTTCCCCTCTCTTCTTCGCGGATTCCGATCTTGCCCCTGGCCACGAGCACTGGGATTCTCTCTTCCCGACTGATACCCATAACTCAACCATTATCGAAAAGCCTGCGAAGTGCCCCAACTCTCTATCTGCATCTCACTCTTCGTCACCATCAATCAAGAGCAGCGATTCTTCTCCTGATGAATCCCCTCGCCCAAATGGTCGACCATCTGTCCGTCACTCCTCTATTTCCGGTGTGAAGCCTCGCCATCGCGAGAAGCCTCTGCCGCCGATTGAATATGACCCAACTGATGCGACTGCTGCTAAGCGGGCACGCAATACAGAGGCTGCACGGAAGTCTCGCGCTCGCAAGCTCGAATTGCAGATGCAAATGGAACAGAAAATTGCAGAGCTGGAAGCGTCTCTGGCCGAGTCTCGTAAGCGGGAGGCTTATTGGAAGTCTATCGCCGAAGCCAGAGAGTAAGCAAGACATCTCGTCTCTGGATATTATGATGTTCCCAACAAAAGTTTATGTGTTTGATGTTTGTTGCTTCGATTGTTTGAAATTCTGATCTCTTTTCGCCCGCTATTGTCTAATGTTGTCGTTTGCTGTTTTTCAATGGAATATGCGATGATGGGAGGTTGAGAGTAACAAGCCATAATTGAGTTTCGACTTGCCGAATTGGTAACTGGAGTGAACCACGAGGTCTTGACTGACACTCCTTCTCTCTCATGATACCTTTTTGTCAAAGTCAGCTCTGACCAACGCTTCCATACTTTCGTCTTGATCCCCTCTGCTTCATTCTTTATTCTTTCGTCTCGGGTCTCGACTTTTCAACTCTTTACAATTCTTTTCGGAATCTGTTTCTTTCTCGTCAATGCCCTGCCCTTGGCATCCGCTGACTAGGGTGTCGAGTTCGTTTTGTCGTCCGTACTATTACAATTCTTGTTTGAGCAGCTCCTTGTTACTTTTTCGTTTTGCTATTTGTATGCATAACGTATTCTACTTCCTAATTGGCCGGTTCTGACTGTCTCCTCGCCGTTTTCTCGAACCTTTCTTTTTTTGAGAAATAATGGTGGGATTGACTCGTGGCCCCTTGTTTTGTTCAGTTCCCTAAGTCCTTTTTATTATTACTTGTTCGTTTTAAACCTGTCCTTACTAAATATTTGTTACATTATCTGACTTTTGCTTTTTAATGTATTTTATACATGTTCGATATTTCAAAGCTATAATAAATAGAGTAAAAAGAAGCCAACTGTTTCGCTTCATTTTAGACAATCGTTTTCAATCCTTTCTCCTTTCTCCCCGCATGTATGCCTTGATTCTCGAGGGCAGCTACATGGAAGCCCGCTCTGCCGTAAATCTATAGAAGAGTACAGAGAACATGCTACCTACCAGGGTGCATTAGTCTTGGGTTGGCTGGCGCTTCTAACCGCGGCCACAGCATGGACCTATCAGCGGCTCGGCACATCGGGACCAACGACCACCAACAATCACCACGACGTATACGGCGATCAGTACGTATGCATATATCCAAAACAAACCTCAGGTGCATACAATACAAAGGTAGACATGGAAGCTTCATTTCTACGAGAACAGCGGCGGCTTTGAGAGAGAGTAAATTCACCAAATCTACCTACTGCATAGTAGCTATATTTCTTTCTGATTTCTTGAGGATGGCGAGTTTTTTTTGTTTTTTTTTTTTTTTTTTCCTGAATGGAGGAGGGATGACGAAGGTTTCGTTTCCCCCTGCCGTATTCTGTTACCGTACCACAAACCACTATCGCAGCCCCGTTCCTATTTGATACTATGTCTAGTGATATACAATATACATCCCCCGAACGGAATGTGTTGTTTGATGGAGGGGAGGAGGGGATATGAGGATGCGATATGTATGTATGTATGCACGTTTGAACTTTTCTTAACGACACCGAACATGGAAACAAAACGACGGGACTGACTGGTATATCAGATATCATTTCTCTCTAATTTTAGGCTCCTCACCAGGATAGGTAGATGGGATAGGTGGTGTAAATTTGCGTTGTTTTCAATTGCAGTAACAGAAGGATGGGTATATTTAAGGCTCCTTCAACATAGGTTCACAATGGGTTATATCCTAGCGGATGAAAGGGTGGGTGGGAGGAGGTGAATTTGGAAGTTCCAATACAATGCAGAAATACACTCCACCCTAACTAATCCAACGATAATGCATGCTTATCAACTTCAGATTAGAAGTTTTGTAGAAGAGGAATGTATCCTTTATGCAAGGTGTCATGGGGTATGGTGGCTGCACTGCGTTTGAATTGCTTTCTTTCTATACTTGGATTCGCGGATCCCTTCTAGTTACTGTCGCGTTGTTCTGCTACATTTCGCTCTACCCGGCCAGTGACTCTGAATTACTTCTGCAATAGCCATATAGCCCTGTGGCTTAGGATGAAAGACACGCGCCAAACCACGCTTATTGGGAAAGTAATCGACAGAGAAATTGTCGTCCTCCTCATCCTTGTGCTCATCTTCCTCATTGTCTGATCCCCGACGTAGGATTTGTGGATATTTCCAATATTGCTCACGAACCATAACAATCCCGCAAGCGGCTCGGTGACCCCAATCCCCCGAATCTAGCGAATGTTGCGCGCAAGCGTCGACGTCGACGTCGTCGACAGACAAATTCTTTGAGCGGGAATCAATATCGAAGAACCACGTATTGTCGCCGTCACTAGGCCTTTTTTTGCCCGGCTGACAAAAGAGATGATCCTTGAATTTGGGAGCCCAGTCAACCCAAACGATCCTCTCATCACCCATGACCTTGATAAGCTGGACAATCCTGTTGTTCAGGTAGAGGGGGATTTCGTTTAGTTGCCGACGTAACTTCACCGTAAGCTTTGGGCGCCACATCCTCCAGTATCCGAAAGACCTTTTAGTGCAGTCTTCGGAGAGGGCTTCGTCGAAGAAAGGACTATATCCAAGTGCCAGGAGCCGAAAGTGAGGCCCGGTACCCTTGGCTAATATATTGGTTAGGGTCTTAGTATATGCATCTGCAAATTTATCACTGGAGATAAGCCTCTTCGATTTCGTCAGTTGTTCATTGCAATTTCCCGACCGGATACCGTAGAAACGATAGACACATGCATTAAGGATATTGAAGAAACCAACATCGTTGCCACCAATCGACAATGTGGCCAGATCCGTGGGCTTGAGAGCCTTTATCTGTCTACTGATCGACTTTTGCTTGCTAAAGGAAGTGCCCGGTATACCCAACACCGCTCCCGAGCAGGCGAGGAACTGGAAAGAGTGGTTTTGTCCGAGCAGACCTGTACGGATCAACTGCATGGGATAGCTGTCTTTAAACCGCCAGCAGGAGGATCGAAGTTGTTTGCCGGCGTCGATTCCTGTGGCATAACTGTCCCCCAGAGCCGCATAATTTATAGGAATCGTTTCGTTTTCGCCGATGCAAGTTATGACTGCAGGTTTTTCAAGCCATATCAGCGGATATATTCGAAAGTGGGACGGAGAGCTTCTGTGTAAAGGCATTTTCTTGCCTACGGTTGTATATTACTTACGCGATGGCAATGCCCCCGCAGAATATGAGAAAAGCTGAAAGGCAAATGAGGAGTAGACAACATAGGACTTTATGGATGTAAAGAAATGCATTATCAGAAGGGATGCAGGGTGGAAAATACATAGTATGGCTGTTTTTTGGAGGATGAATAGACGTCTGACGGTGGTAACGACAGTCGGACAGGTTGACATCAGGCCTGCCACTTTTGCATGTATCAGGAGATAACAATACATTATCCGCGACAGTCAATGCGAGAGTAAGTGTTCTCATTGAGATCAGGCAGGCCCTATCGGCTTCTAACCGCTGTTTTGTGTATGTGTGCAGAGATCACAGCCATCACAGCCAGGTCGGGCCAGTTCGTGCCTGCTCCAACCTACGTGATGTATTCATTTAAATACACTGCCATTTTGCTGCAAGGAAACCACTGTCCTATTCCTATTCAGCTGCAATGCGGCAGGTTATACCTAGACTCTGCTTTGGACTGTGGTCGGAGGGGTTGGGCGTCAGAACCATTTGGATGTATGTATACATTTAAATCTGTTGTTTGGTAGAGTTAGCGGGAGGGGCCAAATTTTAGTAAGGGGTAAAGCGCTCCCTTTTTCTCTTTTGCCATCCTCCGAATACAATCCAACTACCCACCTAACAATGGCCAGCATACAAGAGGCCAGAAAGCAAATGGATTAGCAAGAAATTTGAATGTTTTTGAATTCCGCTTGGGCTGTAAGGAATGCCGTGTCATCACAGTCACCTGATCCTAATGACAACAATAAAAGTTGGACCCTGGCCTCCATTAAAGGAAATATATCAGCCTGTTACGATAACTCTTTACCTGCAAAATTAAGTCTGAGTCTGCGAAACTGAAGTATGAATTCAGGAAATATGCAGCAGCAGCAACAGGCCAGAGAAGGTAGCGAGACCAAAGAGCCTTCTGCCCATATTCCAGTCGTCGATTTCTCCGATTGGAAAACAGACAGTCCGCCAGAAAAAAGGATGAAAGTCGCCAAAGAGATCGTGTCGGCATGTCAGAATGTCGGCTTTGCATATATTATCAACCATGCCATTCCCAGAGAGCGTTTGGCTGAGGCCTTTGCATGGTCAAAAAAGTTTTTCGACCTCTCGCCTGAGCAAAAGCTCCAGGCACCACATCCAGATGGCTCCTCGATCCATCGGGGATATTCCTGGCCAGGTCTCGAAAAAGTATCACAGGCAATGGGTGATAAGGCCATGCCAGAGTTAGTGAAGGAGCTGCGAGAGATTACCGATTATAAGGTATTTTGAGCCATACGCCGTCTGATTTGTTATTTATACTGTCATCAAAATATTCGCCCAACTGGGGCTTAGGATAAACGAGTTAATGTACTCATATCTTGTTTACTTTTGCAGGAGAGCTATGACATGGGAAGCGAGGAGGATTCCTATCAGCCAAACGTCTGGATTCCCGAAGAGACACTTCCCGGCTTCCGAAGCTTTATGATGGAGTTCTACTGGGAATGCTTCGCCGTTGCTAAGGATATTCTTAGAGCAATATCCGTTGGCATTGGTCTTGAAGATGCGAATCATCTTATCAAATTCCACTCTGGTAATAATAACCAACTTCGCCTCCTCCACTATCCTCCCTTACCGGCCGCGGCGTTGGAGAACGAACAATGTGCTCGTATGCCTGCTCACACAGATTGGAGCTCTATAACAATGCTCTTCCAGGATGAGTGTGGCGGTCTAGAAGTTGAAGATATCAAGCGGCCAGGCCAGTTCATTCCAGCCACCCCGATTAAAAACGCCATTGTCATGAATGTTGGAGATCTCCTCCAAAGATGGAGCAATGGTAAGTTGTACATATATGTTGTAGAATTTGCACGCACGCCGGCCCCCCCTCCCTCCTTCTAACCCGCTTCCATCTGAAAGCGTAAAAATAGCCATGGTAACCGTAGAATTGGAAGAGATGGCTTTCAAGCACTCCATATCAAATACACAGAATTAGTTTGTTCTGGAAGACTCTAACTTACATTATCTGCTCACAGATAACCTTCGTTCAACTTCCCACCGTGTCACTATGCCGCCCCTAGCAGATCGGCTTGATGGACCCAATCGCATGGTTAGGGAACGTTACTCTATCCCGTATTTCATCGGCCCGGACCCAACGTCAGTTATAGAATGTCTTCCTAGCTGCACAAGCCCAAGTAATCCATCCAAATATCTTCCCATTACCCAGAGTGAATATAACAGAATTCGGGCCATGATGCACTACCCAGATAAAGCTACTGAACCAGGGAGTGGAAAAGTTTATTGAGAATGAACATTTAACAAAATCGGTGAGTGTCAGTTTTGACCTCGCCATAACAAAAGTCCATTTCCACATGCCTTAACCCTGAAGAATGTATTTCCATACTCAAGCCAAATCCTCTTGGAATAGTTTCTGGAACATGCTTGTCAGTAGCTTTGGATTTTAGTTGTTCGTCTCCTGAACCATTACTGGCGTATCGCAATCCTTACCTGATAGCAATGAAATTGGAATGAAATCTATATGTTTAATTCCGCATGTTTTTATTACTTTCTGCTGTGTATATTTGAATCCGCCTCTACGTAGGGGGGCCTTCATATTCGTGACATTCATCCTTCTAAATCCTTGGGGTCGCACCGTATTTGATGCGCAAACACTACGAGTGAATGTGAGATATCTACGATTCAACATTACTAGGAGACATGGACAATGGAGTTCATAAGGAAATGCTTCATTAACATTACATCTGCAGGTAAACCTAAATGCAGGAACATTGCATGTAGCTGAACAGAACGGAGCTTGAAATTGTGGGAGGCAGAACAGAACGAAACTTGAAACTGTGGGAGACAAACAATAAAAGCTAACAAACTGCAACGGAATTTACTGAAGCACATGTACAGTACAAAACAAACAACAAGTGTCCAGAGCATCCTGCCAGAATCCAGAATCCAACTTCGAAACGATCTGAGAACGTTTGGCGCGTTGCGAAAAAAAAAAATCTTCAACAATCCTTCGCAGTCGCAAGAACAAAAGAGAATTATCCAACAATTGACCGCAGCATATAAGATGAAAAACTCTCTCTCGAGATCTGTGCGGCGAATGTATATAACCCAATCTAGTCAACTCCGTATAGCAAATATAGTTCCCATAAACCGGTTTTGTATCCAAAAATAAATGTCTTCCCAATCGGAGGCCGGCCCCAACTCCTATCCAAAAATGATCATGTATAATCCAGACACCTTCAACCCCCTTTTTTTTTCGAATTTTGAATATTTCAATCGAGAGAGTCTTTTCCATTTTTCTGGTAGGGGGGAATGTAACACATTGGCTCTTGATCATCGAGAGAGTCACCAGGCCTCCATCCAAAATCACCTCGTATAGCTACTTTGTGTTGCATCGTGCCCCACGTAGAGTCCAGCGCAAATGGCCCGGTCGTTTCGTCAGGCATTGAGGAATCGATAGCTCTGATTTTCGCACGCTGCCTTAGCTTCGTGCTGATTCGGCGGAGAACGCGTCCCCGGAGAATGACGTAGCGTTCAGACAGTTCCCCAAGTGTGTCTAGTGGCTGCACATTAAAGCTGAAGATGGCGTCGCACTTGTCGCAGTGGTGTGGAGCGTTGGCGCATTTGTGGCAGGAAAGCTTTTCCGGATGGTTCATGACTTTGCAGTAGACCATATCCCAGAGTTCAGGGGTTTCGGGAAAGTTCATGTGGTTGCATACTTTGACGGAGGCGTTTTTGAGCTGGGGACCAAAGAAAGCGTCGCGGTCGAAGACTTTGTCGTAGTCGACGCGGATGGTAATGAATTTCTCTCCTGATGTTTCGTATACTTTAGGAAGTTCCACTTCCCTGTAAGGCTGTAGAATAGTAAAAATATAACGTCCGTCTAAGCGTTCTTCAACCGTGCCAGTATTATTGGCGATAAATTCTTTTGACTCTTCGTCGACGTTCTCGAAGTTGGATATGTAGATGCCGGTGCTCCTGCCGCTGAGCGTGAGCCGCCATTCGCAGGTGGTTTCGTCTAATTTGATCCGCCTTTCCGAGGAAAAGCTGGGAGCACATCCAAGAGAGCAGTTTTGATTCTTTGGGTGCAGTTTGAGGCACCAGATACAGGCAATGTCCTTGCGCGAATCTCCCTGCAAGCCCTGAAGGAATTTGAACCGTTCGTATTCCATCGGGAATGGCTCGTGGCATCCCCGGCCCCAGATTTCGGATATTGGAGGCATATCCATAGGCCCAAAATCATTTAGGTTGGAGAATTGGTACGCGCCTAAAAGTTGGATGTCAGAAATGGTTATTCCTGCCTATTTTATGTCAAAATTAACCAACGAACCTTTACAAGTAAGAGCAAGTGAGGCTTTGTCCGCCGGGCCGAGGTTGCTCGTAATTTTCAGAAGGAGCTCTGGCGGTATGCCCAGGAGTCTGTTCTCGTCTTGCCTGGACACGGCAGATTGCACCTTGCTCCGTTTATCGACACAACGTTGCTCTTGCCAGGCCTGAGCCTTGTTTTCTTGGACGCTAAAGAGCTTAGTTAGCGACGCACGTATTGAGATATCACAGGCAAATGCTGAAACGTTCAAATATTTAGAAGCTGCAGGGGCCATACACTGCCATTCTTGGAGGGCGAGTGGCGATGGTTTGTATGCGTGGCCGCGGGTAGTAGGTACGCTCAGGGGCTTTTTCCGGATTTAAATGCTATAAAGAAGAAACGATATGTGAAGGTATATTGAACAAGGTGGTTGTGTATATTGTATGTCGCTTTCTGACTGCGCTCATATAGGTACGTACAGCTGAAAACACTTACTGCAGCAGAGGAAGTTGCTTGCAGAACGGAGGGAATGGGAGGCCAGCACCCTCTTTATACCCTGCTCCAAAGGTTAAACATGCTCAACGTCAAAGTTCAATGAGTGACTCTGGTTTACAGCACGTAGAATACTGATGAGAAGTCATCTTTTTGAGTTTGACGACAACGAAACCAGTGCCTTCGTGAGGTGACGAAGGGTTTAATTTACAGTTCCGCTGAAGTTAACGTCAAAACAAACATTTTTCGAGAATCGACGGATTTCCCGTTAGGGCTTAACGGAGAGGAAAAAACGGTTTCCGAAAAGTCATAACTTTTCGCAAACCATGAACTCTGCCCCTTGGTAGTGGAAAAATAATGCCAAAGTCGTGCTCCACGGGCGTTCCGCCCATGATGGCGGTGGGGTTTCCTTATCAAGGTTGTTTGTCCAAATACTGTCCCAGGCCGCAAAGGCAGCAAGTAAAAGAAAATCTATGGTATGAGCCACGAAATATGGGTGGTTCACACCAAAGCACACGAGTAAAACCTGGGCTTCTTTTGAGGAATAAAGATATTGGTGGGTGAGACACCCGAACAAAAAATGATTGATCCTCCATGGATACAAGAGATCTGTATAGTAAGCATTAACCCCATGAGTAAGGATAGACATTCAAGGTCCAACGACCTAAGCAGACTTGCGAGCCTACAAGCAAGCGTAGAAGCAAGCGTATAAGCAAGCGTATAAGCAAGCGCAAGATGGATCATTACTGACAGATCAACCAAGCACAGGACCAGCTCAACAAGGCTCGCAAAACAGGTGATAATACTAATTCACCATGTTGTGCTCATTTATAATAATACAACAGACCCGTTTCTTTTGGACCCCGTAGGGTGCGAAAAGTCTTATCGATCGGATTCTATAGTTTGTTTTATATAGTTAGCAGTTAGCGCTCGATGTATTCCAACTGGAGGGGATAACGCACAGTACTAAGTTTCCATAGTTTCTTCTAAACTCCTTAAAACATGAGGGATAGAGAAATGTCGTCATTTTTTAGTTTGAAAGTCGTTGGTTTTTGGGTTGAAATAAGCTTGAATAAGCTTTGGGCGCTCAACGGCCGGACCAATAAGAACTGATTGGTCGAGGTTCTACACTCTGCACAAGCGCTATTCCACGTGACCCCCCCACACACACACAACACAACATAACGTAGTAAACTAGCTGCCACGCTAGCACTAGATGGGTCATAACAACCAACCATGTTCAAAGCTTTTCGCCTGTGAAAATCCGCCGAAATAATTCTGTCCTGCTAAGATGACTTCTAATAAAAGTTCCGAAGACACTCCGCTTCATGATCCATCATATGATATTGTCAACGTTTGGTGTGGTGGTAAAGATAGAACTGAAATGACTGTGATGTGCTATCATGCTATCATAGACACTTCAATATTTTAGCTCTAGTCAAAACATAGAGGAGCGGCGAGCCTCCGGCGATCAAATAGGAATTTTTTGATTTGATAAAGGATCTCTTATCCATGGATAATGATGACTTCCAGTTTAAACCTGGCCAATTGGACTCAATGGAAGAGATGTGCTTTTGGATGGCAAAGGCTTGTTTGCACACTTTCATATGCTGGCACCTCATCTCACTGAGCTGTGGATAATAACTCTAGAGGAATATTACACAACACCAGCAATTCATTTAATCATAACAGCCAATGATGGCAAATTAACTGCAAGAACAAATCCCACAAAGCTGGGATTATCTGAGAAAATGTTAAACCAGAAAATGGTCTCATTGACATGGATAAAAACCTGTGGATTATAGATTTTAAAGAATCTTACACGCCAGACTGGGTTGATGAAAAGTTGATGGAAAACAGTTGAAGGGGATTTGCAGGGGCTATTGAAAGTCATAAATTTTATTCATGGCAGGGACATAGAGATGAAGCAATTCATTCTTATGATGAATATGCAATCAGTCAGCTGGAGCTTCCTTTGGATTTTCCATAATTGCAGTTCCAATGTTACCAAGTTCACTGCTGCTGATGTGTTTCCCCAAAGGAGGCGGGCGAACATCCAGTGTTTTATTTGTGCCGTCGTAGCCCGATGAAGAGCTCCCTTGGGCGCCATGCCCATTTGCTCCATCACCTTGCGGATGCTACTCCTTATTAGTGGGCACCGTCCCCAAATGGTCCATAGGCCTTGTAGGCGCTAGTTACTCCCAAATATTCCTGAAGTTCAGCAGGAGATAATTTTTTGAAGACCTTTTTCGAACGGCCAGTTTTTATTATCGTGTTGGCATCGAGAAAATAATTCTTCCTTTTATATAAGGAGCTTGACGACCTTGAATTGGTATCATTTTTGACTATCAAGTTGCCAGACATTGCAGCCTTCTCTAGTTATGACTCGCTCACCTGTTTCGTATCATTAATTACCTACGTATTCCTCCGCTGCCAAGGTCGCCGCACCTGCTGCCTTGGAAGAGCCCGCTACGTCACGTGGACACCTCCGGCGATTTTGGCATCATCACCGCAATTTGTCGCAACCAAGCAGAAATCTGCAAACACGATGCCCTCGGAAGTTGGCAGAAGAAGCTCACCTAGTTCGCAGCAGCCAAGAAAAGCGGCTAGACAGAGTATTTTGTCAAATGACGTGCTGATATGACGCTCTGACTCAGTTTTCGGTTTCCTATTTTCTATTTATCACCATGGGCATCCGGGCGTAGAAAATAACACAAGAGTATTCCATCAACCACCGGCGGTTCTTCTAGTGGCCAAGCGACACTTCCTTTTGGTCTTATCTGGCTTGCCTTCTGCTCACAGAGTGCAGCAGATATGTCTGATGGCTCCACCAATGGTGCCCAGCTAAAGACTTCGACTTGTATGGCTTTCCGCAGCGCCCCCAAATTATTAAACCTGGCCCCTCCTATCTGAAACTCTTGCTGACCGGCCATTTAGCCTCGAAGCCAACATTCCACTTCGTTGCTGGCCTGGCCTCGGGGCTCTCTTCTGCCGTTCTCCTCCAACCCGCAGACCTCCTGAAGACTAGAATCCAACAAGCCCGCCAAACATCTTCCCTCCTCTCCACCGTTCGCAAAATCCTTGCATCGCCCCAACCAATCCGCGGCCTCTGGCGAGGGACACTACCCTCAGCACTTCGAACGGGATTTGGGTCCGCTCTTTACTTTTCTAGCTTAAATGCGTTAAGGCAAGGGGTAGCAAACCGGGGGCCAATCGTCCTACTCAACGGCGACCGAGATGCCAAGTCCACACGCACATCCGCGCTTCCGAAGCTCTCCCACACAGCAAACCTCGTCACCGGGGCCATTGCGAGAACGGCGGCAGGGTTCGTCATGATGCCTGTCACCGTCATAAAAGTACGCTATGAGTCGGACTATTACGCCTATCGCAGCGTTTGGGGAGCCGGGCGGGATATTGTGCGTTCAGAGGGGTTCCGGGGTTTATTTTACGGCTTTGGCGCGACCGCTATCCGCGATGCGCCGTATGCCGGTCTGTACGTTGTGTTTTATGAGCAATTGAAGAAGACTCTTGATTCCCTTGGCTTTGGTGCATCGACGACAACCACCCCGTCCACCTCTGGAGAGCCGACTGGCAAGGATATCTCCAAATCGCAGCCTGTTCCCTCATCTATATCGGTGAATTTTGTCTCCAGTGCACTGGCTGCCAGCTTGGCGACAGCTATCACCAACCCGTTCGACGTGGTAAAGACACGATTGCAGCTTATGCCAAACAAGTATCGCAATATGGTACATGCCGTGCGGCTAATGCTCCGTGAGGACGGGGTGCGGAGCCTGTTCGGAGGGTTGGGTTTGCGCATGGGCCGCAAAGCAGTCAGTTCCGCACTTGCATGGACTGTGTATGAAGAACTGATTCTAAAAGCAGAGAAGAGGTGGCCGGATCCAGATAACGTCGAGCAATTAGCGTCATGATCGGCCTATTTATTGCTTCTCGTTCTACAACATTAGCGATTTCACGCCATTTACTGGTAATATAATTCGTTTGAATATATTACGTTTCCTGTGCATCGAGCATTTTTTGGCATATACCCTTATGATCCCGTACTACCTTTTGAAAGCAAGGTTTTGGGAAAAAGGAAGGTCTTTTGGGCGGTTATTCTCGCGATGTTCTACAAATTCACTGTATCATATGGTTGGGAAAAAGGCACGGATTATGCATTCAAGCTGGCGTTTTTTGAAATGATGTAAATTAATATTATTATGATTAAGATCCCTCGCCATGTATACACAGGCCCAAGCAAAATGAACAAAGTGTTATCAGAAGTGATTGCGTCCCACATAGAATCCCTCCCTGATCGGCACAAAGAAGATTCATGGAAACATAACAATTAACTACCCCATGTAAAATCAGAATAGGACGAATTAAAATATTAACAATTAGTACGCTTCTAAACTCAGTAATACTAACCATACCTATAACAATGTGCAACGAAATTAAAAATGTGTAAAATTAAGGAAACAACTATTTTATAGCCGGCAAAGTTTCCATCACTGAATGCAAAATGCCTGTCAAATATTTCTCACGTCTACCCGCCTCGCTTAACGCAGACTCAGTAAGTAGCGTTACATGGTCGCGTATGCCTAGTGACGCACTAAAGTCATCGTGCTGTCCATTGTCTCTCATTGGTGATATGAATCCAGACTCCGCATAATCTGACGCTGAGGTTGGCGATTTGGTAGAGGAAGGAGGGGCATTCCCGTCATATGCCCAGCGACTGTGGGGACTGGGGGAGGTTGTGGAAAGGTATAGGCTAACAGTGCTATGTAAGCACTCGAGGGTTCGTAAAAGCAGATGGAGAAGGAGCCCTAGGTTCATGCTAGATGTGGCAGTAAGCCCGTATCGGCCTAGCTTAAATGTTGGGAGAGATGGGATGGGTAGAGGCAATGGCAAAGGAAATGAGGAATTTGGGTGAGCTTTAAATTGCGGACGATGTTGTTGAAAATATTGGTAAAGAGGAACCACGAGTGTTTCGTAGATGCCCAGCAGGCGAAGGTAACAGGTAAGTGTAAGGAGGATGGTTGCAGGCTCTTGTTGCCGTCCGCTCTTGTAGCTATCTTGTGAATTGGACGAGCCTCTCCGCCGCAAAGGTGAGGACTGAGGCGTGAAAGGGTAGATGCTAAGGGGTTGGCACATTGTCGTAGTTGCCTCTTGGTATAACTCTTGCACTATTTTGATGAGGGTTTCGCTTAACAGGAAAATCTCGTCGATTGCAGTGGTTGGAGTGGTTGGGGTGGTAGGGATGGCGATAGCCGCGGAGAAAGGGCTGCTGGGGGAGGACATGAGATCATTGGGATGTACCGTGCCATCGCAGTTGATCGATAAGCTGAGGAGATTATCTAGTTCCAGATGAAGCTTTGAAAGCTTGTACATCGGCGAGTTCATATCCCCCGTATAGCTGCAATCACTAGGTGAAGTGAAAGCCTCCGAGAAACCAGGTGCCGAATTCGGAGCGGGGGAGGAAGACAAAGATGTACTGTCGAAACCCATATGACTGGCGTCTTGGGGAATTTGCCCTGTAAGAGCCTTTGGTCCCGAGGAATCTAAAAGCCATGCGAAATCGATTTCTGCTGGATGTAAGGTGGTTTCCACAGCAGGCGCAATGGATACACTCGGTTCGTCGTAATTGAAGGGCGCTTGCAGTTCGTAAATTGCAGAATCTCCCCCATGGAGTTGTGACGCAATATGCAACGGCAGCGACGGACTCCCAGGAGGTGTCATGTTATGCCCTGCTCTGTTGTTAGTTCATGACTCGACCCTATCTTTCTCCATGAACGTATGATCCACATACCGGGCCATTGTTCTCGCATAGCTGTGGGAGCGCTTAGGGGTGCTGTGCTGATTCCTGGATAGAGTCAGCTACTCGAGTTCCACGCAATCAAGGAATGAAATGAATGAAGGGTGCTATTTACCTGACGAAGACGCGCACGCTGCATGAGGCTCTCTGCACATACATACTTCTGCATGGTGGATATCCCGGGGAGTCAAGCTCTGTTGTTCTATAGCTTTGTCGAATTGATTAGGAGGTGGTTGGAAAACTTGAAGTGATTTTGGTCTTCCCAACTTCATTGTCGCACTGAATACACAACGTATCCCAATGCGCTCGCATCGATTGCAGCGTTCTGAGCCTGGTGTTCTTGTGCACTTGCTTTTTAAAGTATGGCATCTGTCGCAAGACGTCCTCTTCTTGCCAACTCTATTTCGGTGAATTGGTGATGGGTTCATGTTGGGAGGTTGAATGAGCATTGACCTCCAAAGGAGCAAATCCAACTGAGTGTTTTGATTTTGGATCTGAAATAAAAGACATCAGGGTGGTTTCCCCGCGGCATTTGTAGTACATTTCCACCGCACAGCTCCACTCATAGAACTAATGCTGCCTCTCAAGAAGAGAAAAGTGGGTGTAAGGGTGGCTGTCATCCTGGTCGTCGCTTGGTAGTTCCATCTAGTGGCTGTAGTAGTTCGGAACGTAATGGTTAGAATCCTATAGCAACCCAAGGCGCTGTTTGCCGCAGACATCCAACCATTTGCGTAGGGTAAGCGGTTGAATGGTTGATAGCGGTTGGGCGCCTGCAGGTCCCCTAAACTTAGTTAAGGGTAGCTGCCGTTTTAGTTAGGAATCCCCCAGACGCATTGGCCAATAGCGGGCCCAACTGCTTGCAGGAACTCCGGAAAAGCGCCCAGCATCCGCTACCTGTTTCTGCAGCTGCTCTTGAAACCAACCTGCCTACCCCCAAAAGCCGCCAGAAACACCAGCAATCATGGAGGCTAAGTGTTCTAAAATTGTAACACCCATGGACAAATTAGCTGCTGTCTGCATAACTTGTTACCTAAATAGATTGTCCGAGTGATTCAATGACCCCAACCCCAGTCTTCCATGGATGCCCCCCTTCTTAAGCCTTGCTCGGCCCTTCGCCTGATGATTCAACCGGTTCTGACATCGATGTTCTGACACAGATGGTGCGGAACGTACGACCATCAACTATCAGAACCTCACAGCACTGCGTACAATAAATGGGCATAAATTGAAATAGTTTATCCTTGAAGGCATTCTGGTGCAAGTTTCCTTCGGAAGCGAAATATTTGGTCAAGGAACTAGACATGGCATGGTCAGTTAATCGCGGGGGCGCAGATTTTCGGCAAGCGTGGCAGCGCTTTCTGGGTAGCTGTCGAGAGTGGTCAAGGTAAAGGGTAGGGTTTATTTCGCCTGCCTTCATGTGCTCCGTCAGTTAATAATATTTATTTCATCACATTTTATTCGTCCGGAAGACTAGAATTTGGCGTTCTAGTTGGAATCTGCATATGTCCAAGGGTGCCCTAGAAATATTTGATTTGAATGAAGTCGAACGTAACCCAAGAGCCAACACTAGCGGAGGGGCAAGCCGATATCTACATTGAAATTGAAAACGACACACTTGTGACAATCTTGTAAATTCAAACGATGCACATCAATCGTCGCACCCACGCCGATTCCACCGTCGAGTAGAATCTAACAACCTTGACCAACGTTGGACAAACGAACAGGGAATAGAGATTTTTTCGCTAACCGCCTGTAGTAGCTATAGTTCCATCAGCGCATTTTTCCGTGCCAACATCTTCAAAAGCGCTTATGCAGGGGGTTTGACATCCGCGAGAGAAAGATAAGGGGTGTCGGAAGTTTAGGCGAAGTGGGGCCGTTGCTCTAATAGGTGATTTCAGATAGTGAATAGAGGGAACTTAGCTTATGATAAATGTCCCGAAGCGGCATTATTTTTTTATTTTTTTTTTTCAAGATGTGGGATTGCTTCAAGACAGTTAGTACCGCTTAGCATATGGGTAGCAAAGGATTCTCTACAAGGCCTGCCGCAAGGAACGGTGAGCATTGGCCAGCATTGGCCTAGCCCCTGGGGGGCCAATGGAGACTTTATTTCCTTGAAGCTATCGCGTTGTAGACCCTGTGATGGGGCTTGAGCTAATAGAATGTGAGTGAGATTTATTTGGATCTCTGGGTGACGTTTGCGGCTCCGACTTGTAGTAATATGTGATTTCCATTCCAATCAGTCAATACCCATCTGCCTGGAATGCGATGTTTGAATCTGCGTACATGTTGTTTAGTTAATAAATTATGCTTCCCACTTGATGGTGGTCAAACGGTAGTTGCCAGCATCTACAGGGATATTGTGTCGTGTAAGAGAAGCATTCAATGTTGGCCCTGATGGATAGTTCATAGACAAATCATAGTTCTGGATGGAGCGCGTGATTATGTTTTTGCCGGTTAATAGCTTTCTTCATTGACGTGTTGAGCGTACCAGTGCTATTTGGTATGCATTTTCAGCATCTTCATAACAGTATGTAGTGCTGGAATGGAGCAAATCTCTGGAGGAAATGAGCCATTCAGGGACATATGAAACGCCAACATGGAGTGCTTTCCCCTAGACATTACGATTCGGCCAAATTGAAGCCAAGGCAATCATGTTTCAAGACGTGAAGAAGAGGCATGCTGACATACCCGATGATGCGCAGGCGCCGCACCGAAAGCGGCACAGATTCATCTAGGGACAGCCAGAGCGGCGATCAGAACCTGGCCCACGATACAACACGCGCATCATGGCATAGGGTACTCGGGAATTCCCGACAAAGCGAGTAATATCGTGGGCATCCGAAAAAAGGGTCGCAGGAAACCAACTGAGGAAGGGATTTGCATTCTTCCGTTTGAGCTACGCATTAGCCTGTGATGTCTCTCTTTGAAACATAGTGCTGATCTGCATCATGGGTAGATATCGGAGGGTTGGATAACTGAAGCCGTGCAGGGCATCCTGATAGCCTTGCTACCACAAAAGATAGAAAGAAAAGAACGAAAGAAAATCACCGCTCCAGCAGACTAGTCCAACCATAACGACTGTCAGCAAGTAACAGTCAAATGGGGCCAAAATATACATTTGAAACGTAGTTTCAAGCAAATCTAGGTAAACAAATTCAAGGATAATGCAACCAAAGTCTTTGGCCGCTCGTTAGGCTCTTTGTGGACGGAGAAGTTGCTCATGTTGAAGTTGGGGGCGTGTACGAAGAGTGCTTCTCAGGGTATACAGTACAGGGGAAACCCAGTCCGGCCATTGGCAAATGGCATTCCTTGGTATGGCCGGTGTGGAAGTCTGAGAGAAAAGTGAGTGGTAATTGTTAGTCCATCGGTAGAAAAGGTGAGGTTGATGTTGGTGTGCTTCCAAGGAAGGTTGTTTCTCAGGATCACGGGATTTAACGTGATCTTGGTACTTTACAGATCTATAGCATTCAAAAAAAAATCTTTAGATATTAGGGATTGAGGAAGATCTAATTGCTAATGCATTTCCTGCTCTCTAAGGTTTAATGAGTTCTGAATGTAGCACTTTCCGGAAGAGTGAAGGAAACGGAAGTAATTATTTGTCCGTTAGCTGGCCGCTGCAGAGACAAATAAGTGCAGGGAATGCACCAAGGGGTTGGGGTTGACAAGATAAAACTGGTTTACATTTTACAACTCAGGGCCTCGTGACACCATGCTGCGCCGCTTGATAAATTCTAGGGAAAAAAGGCATTTCTTCGTTACACATCTGTAGAGGTATTTAAGAGCGAAATAACAAAATTGCAACTGAAATCAGAAAGAAAAGAGAACAAACAAAAGTAGAGAGTACACTCTACGTGTGCGGGTAAATGACAAAGAATTTATCAAAGAAATTAGACACTAAGCATCAAAACACCATAGCAAATCAAAGCAAGAAAGGAAGAGGTTGGAGACCAGCAGGGTGGCAAAAGGTTTGAGGGTCGGGGGCGCTATTGGGGGACGGGAGATAATAGGAATCAAGATACACACGTCTGCTAGGCCTGTAAACATGAAAGCGCAGATAGACATCAAGTTAAATAGACATGAGAAACTACTTGAGACCGCATGACAGAAGAAATCAGATGGAGAAGATTTTTTTACCACAATCCCCAACCACTCTGTCGCCGGGGCGACTTCTTCCTCGTTCGAACCAAAAACATCTCATCACGATCTCGAACTCTGACACCAACTGGTGGCTGTGGGGAAGGAGCAGGGGCAATCAGAAGTCTTTGCCCTTGTCGTAGCATTTTAGTGTGTTCGAAGAGTTCTTCCTGCTCATCGTCTGTAATCCAGCGTTTGATAAGAATGAATTCCCTGTCACGCTGTGGTTGTTTTGAAAAGAGAAATGTTAGCCGCTAGCCATTTATTTATGCAGGGAACAAAATGTAAGATAATTTCCCTTTTGAGGCAGAGTGAATAAATTTGACAAGTGGGAATCGGATAGTTAGAAGATCAATTGAATCAATAGATGGGAATACTCACGTCATCCCATTCCCATGGTATGTGATAAGCATCTAGTGTATCGGGTGATATGTGTTGGCTGGAGACCTGAAGAAAATTGTGAGCAGAAATACCCTTGGAGAAATATAAAACGAGTAGAAGAAATGGGAGCGAAGGGATAACGTACCTTGATAAAAGTTGGCTTTACGGGTGCTTGAGCAATAGCTTTCGGTTTCTCCTTCTCTCCCTTGAGTATTGCAGTGATTTGCTCATCAGTATAACCGGATTTTGCGAGCGTCGCCCTAGCACGATCTTCAAACTCCTTGTCTGCCTTTTCTTTCTCCTTCTTTTCCCTCTGCTTCTTTTCTGCTTCCACTCTGTTGTATTCATCGATTGCTTGCCTTTTTAGTTTAGCTTCGTACGCTCTCCGCTCGGCCTCCTCGGCTTCCTGCTTGGCTCGCTCAGCCTCTATCTTCTCACGGATTCGTTGTTCTTGCTCTTTTTCTGCTTCTTCCTCTTCCTTAGCCTGTGCGCGTCTCACAAGGACTTGATCGTCGATGTATCTCTGGGCTTCCAAGTCATGCTGCATCTGCAGTAGTTTTTCTATTTGTAATTCGTATTCGATATCCCGGCGAGACAAGCTACGGTCCTTGTCGCGACTTGACCGATCCCTGCCACGGTCTCTATCACGGTCTCTATCACGGTCTCTGTCACGATCCCTGTCACGGTCTCTGTCGCGTTCTCTATTACGGTCCCTGTCGCGTTCTCTTTCGCGCTCCCTTTCGCGCTCCAATTCCCGCTCTCTCTCGCGAATTCGTTTTTCTCGCTCCTTCTGTAAATCTTGGATTTGTTCGTCTAATTTTCTATTGCGCTCTTCCAGCAAGGCTTCTTCACGTCTTTCCAAGATTTTTAGCCTCTCCAGCCGGACGTGCTCTTCGATATCCAGGTGCGGGGAATGGGCAGAACGGGAGCGGGGCCGCCGGTGGCGTCGCAGTTGCTCCATCTGTTCGTCCAAGTCTACCAGGGCACCATCTTCGGCGTATAGTCTTGGCCTCGCACGAACGTGAGAGTGGGAGCGTTCGCGACTCGGGGAGCGAGCTTCGTTAACGATGAAAATGTTGCCATCTCTACCCTGGGGGCCTACTGACGAAGCACGAGTACGTCCACGTCTGGGAACCTCCAAGTTATCTACTCTAACTTCTCGCGGACGAGAATGCTGGCGAACTCTGGGGCGTGCTCGAATCACAAATGAGTCCTCGTCCGAGGAAGAGTAGCCACCACCACCGAAGATGATATGAGGCGGTGCCATATTTGGAAGTCCCCGCTTGGTCTGGGGTGCAATCCTCTGATAGAAGGTCAAGTGACTACTCCTCTCTGTAGCTACTTCTCTTCCTCCAAGGTTCAGTATAGGGTCAAAAATGTAAATATTGACAAGCAGGCTCAACTCCAGGTGGAAAGGTTAAACGGTAGCCGGGATAAAGCTCAAAGCTGGTTTGGGTCTTCTTGGATGAGCAAAAACGTGGAGGAAAACTAAACTCTCCTGTTGGAAAGTGGGGTAATGGCCCTCTTCGTAAGGGGGCATAGACAGGATGGCCGTTGGACAGAGAACTTGATGGAGAGAAACTGGAGTCGGAGCAGGCGAGCAGGCGCTTATTTTATCTCAGTCAGTCGCTTGGGAGAATGCTAGCTTTTATGGAGCTTAGAGGGATGAATGAACCTGAGAAGTTTGCTGAGGGGTTGGGATGCGTGTGTCAAAACGGAAGCTCGACAAATGAACGGTTTGTGATTCGTGACAGTGTCCGTTAAAGAGCCAGCGATCGGGTAACTATATAGTAGTTAAATTAAATGTGTGCCTTCAAATAGGTCACACAATTCCAGAAGCCCAACTACGGGCAGAAGAATGGTTGAAAGAAATCTTGTAGATAGAATAGCGAGGAGGATTATTAATTCGTGTCGGTGAGGGAGGATTTGGCCATTTTTCTTCGCAGCCAGGCCAATTCAGCAGCTGATTTGCTGAACAGAACCGGTAGGCTTTCGAGGGTATCACGTTCGCTCCATCTTTGGACAGAAGTTGCTTGTGCACTTCTGGCCCTGCTTGAAGAGCGGCACTGTCCAAGGATTAGGGCTTAGCGGGGTCCGCCCGCAGATTTTGGGGGCCAGAAGAAGCCCAGAAAGGAAAAATAACGCCGTCAACTTGATCCTTGGTGGAGCGGTTGACTTGTCTTCTCAGCCTCAACGTTGCCAAATCAGTTTGCCCGAGCGTTATAATTGGCCGTGAAAATGTTAAACGGGATGGCGCAAATCAGAGCTCCTCCAGTCTGTCCCCGCCGCCCAAATGCATCCACCAGATTGGGCGAGTTTGCCTGAATCTTCCAGGCACCAACTGGGCGGTTGAGGCTGCCTGGTGGTGGTGGTGGTGGGAAGAGCCACGAATGACAAAAAAAACTTCATATCATCTTGTTCATGTATGTATCTTGCTTGAGATCTGGTGTCCTGTGTCGCATGGAGAGGAGAGGGCAAGCCATTCCCCCCACAAACAAATGTTAAAAACCCTGGCAAGGCTGACTCTGCGCAGGAATCCGCCCTCATTAATTGCCAATCAAGGTTAAATAAAATGGAGCTCAGGCAGCCAGTAGATGGCGGGCTCTTTCTGTGCAGACTTGCCCTGCTGGCCGTGGGCGTTTTGGGCATTTTCATGGCAAGAAAGCGGGTCGGGAATCATGCAAATGTTACCTATAGATGGTTGCTTGGAATTCTGAAGATGGCAACAGGTTTTTGTTGTGGTTAGTTACCGCCGTTGAGTTTGCATTCCGCATATTCATCATTCTTCAATTGGGTCTCTCCATTTACCCTCTTTGCATTGTGTCCAGGGTTTCGGTCTGTTAGTTAACAACAAATACAGCCCGCCCTCATTTAACTAAACAGATTGATTTGAAGACCCTTCCTTACGCTGTAACTGCACCCTCGCCAGTGGACATTGGTAACTGGGCTGTTAACGTAGTCAACAACCAGTCTAGCTCACGACATCCCAGTTGGGCAGATATGCAGATGACTTGTCTTCACTGAATGATTGCTTTCCAAGTTATGTTCGATGAAGTGTCTGGGCAGTTCATATCGTCGTGTCTTTGTCAATTACTCATTTAGTTGCCTGCCTGTTGCCTATGAGAGGCAAAGCTTAATTACGCATTCTCATCTTTTTTTTTTTTTTTCTTAAATTCGTATCATTAACATGATTCCTAGATTCCTAAGAATATACATCACCACTATGATATGCTCTAATACGGAAGTCCCTGTCCATTCAGCGAGAGCCTTGGAGACGTTTAAGGGTATGCTGACGAAATCTACAGCCCAAACTTCCACTTCTTTTATCTTTAGAGCCTGTGTATTATACATATGTTGCCCGAAGAGATTGCGAGATACAACATTGATAGTACCTAGTACCTACACCCTGCGCGGCCTTACGATTTGTCCAGCTCAGGCCCTGACTATACTTCAGCATGGCTATTGCGGGAGCCTCCCTGAGACAAAGTGCCTGACATGGCATAAAAATGCATGCAAATACTGAAATAAGTAATGCTGATGATGCGGATGTGGCAACAAAGAAAAGAAAAAGGAAAAATGCCTGTAGAACGTTACAGCCGCGCATACATGCTGTGTTTGACACTGGTACAACAACCAGGTCTGCGTAAACACCCGGCCCAACAATGTGATGACATCCCCTGGTGTAAGTATCTATCTGACCCTTTCTGGTAATTAGACAGGTTGGATCAATGAACCAGATTTGACTTCATATTGAGGAGATTTTAGGAGGAGAGGTGGGGGAGGGGAAATATTTGCAATGTATCAAGCTATATCTCCCGATCTGGTTAGAGAGATAGCAAATGTGGTTGTTATAACAATAGCATTTTAATGATATAAAGATCATATCAAACACGTAAGGTAGACATCTGCCTGCGGGCAGCTCCAATTGTAATTAAGCTTGGTGATCTTCTCCATAACATATCTGTACGTAGAACCTCCATACCGCAAGCCGCATGGGTTTCTGATCGTAACGCCACAACGGTTTGAACCAACAGGGCAACTCAGAGTCTCGAGCTGGCCAGAAGAACAACAGTGCATACATCCATCCGGTCGATCTGCGCTGGGCGTTTCTCCGCATCCACGCTTGCCTTGCTCGGGGGTTATGCAAGACAGCGACAAGACCCTTCGCATCGGCGCTCATCTGAACTGGGTAGCGATTCTAAATGGCATTATTAAACGCCCGGCTGCATCCCATCCAACACGGCGAACTTCATTCCCCAACTGGGAAAATTTCCCGGGCATATAAATTTAACAAGCACGGTATATTTCTCAGATCTTAAATTCCATTTTTCACATCATCTTCGTCAATCATCATAATCATGCCTTGCCGCCAGTCTTGAATATCTGGTCCATATGTTGCATGCTATTTTTATGCGTTGTTTCCAGGTAATGCAGTTTCTTTTCGAGATTGGATATATCGGTTTTCAGGTCGCCTTTCTCCGTCGATAACCGTTTGTTCACGTTCGTAATGGGGTTTGCGACAAACCTAGAAAATGTCCCAAGGGAAAGAAAGAAAGATCTTGTAAGTCATGATTGCTTTCTTACATCAAGTCTGCTAAGAGACTGCATAGCAGGGGACAAAGCACTCAAGCCAAGAGCACGCCATACATTTTCCCAACCCCTTCATATATATTTGTCTCCTTGGGTAATTGGCTAATTTCGCTCGATGTGAGTTCTAACAAGCGCAATTCACGCTGTTTCCCCGTAATTTGTGATTTGACGATGTTGATCTGTTGCTGTGCGGCGATGGCCCGCGATTCAATTTCTTGCACGAGCTATATGGTTTTCAGGAAGCGCATAGAATGTTAGAGTGGTAATAATTCTTCCATAAATATGCGGAACTGCGAGGACTGAAGACGAGGGGGTATGGGCTCACCTTTTGGAGAGCTTCTGGAGGGATAGACATGTTGAGATAGGCGCGTTCGCGCGGGGATGGCAGGAGGTGTGCGCTCGGGGCTTTCGAACGGAGGTCAACTGGATACGATACGATGAACGTAAGCTGTCAATTGAATAGTAATGGAATACTGTGGTTTGGAATAAACGACTCCATTTGAATCAACATCACGATAAATCACATGTATCCTGGGAACGAGGCGACAATTAGCGTATTTTTTAGCGTGTGGTGGGATGTTTTAGTGTAATTTATGTAATCTATTCACTTGTTCATACGAACCACCTACTAAGGGCGTGTTCGGTTGCACGGTCCTCTGTTAACCTCTGTTAAAAAGGTCCACTTAACAGACCCTAGTTACCCGCGGTATTGAAATTATCTACCTGAAAAAGGCCTTGCATTCAGTCTGCCATCATTATAATCTCCACTTACCTGTGATTAGAGTTCAATAGTGTAATTAGATCAAATAGTGAATAGTTGTAACTCAAATAGGCAAGGTGAGTATAATGTAAGATTGTGTAAAGCTGTCACTGTCTGCCAGCACTCAGGTGTTTTGCAGACATGGTTTTATCTCTGATAAGTGAGACAGGCCGGATTCCTTCTTATCATTATATATATATATATATATATCTTCTTGTTGAAAACTGTCAGAGATATGACAATTGACATTATAAAGAACTTTAATGATGAATATGAGTAGACTGACCGTGTGACCGTGTCTGAGACCAGAATCAGAATTTTTGATAATTTCATTGTCAATTCAACAGATCTCATTACATGATTCTAATATTAGATAGTAGTTTCATACTGTCTCAGTGAAACTTACTGTCTACTCTTATCACATTTTTCAAATGAGATCATGATTTCTACTTCTCAATTTAAATTATTTTTATTGCTTTAAATAGCTTTAAATCTCATTTGAGTGTTATCAAAAAGCATTACTTTTTAAAAAATTAAAAATAGTCTAAAAAAAACCTTAAAATGTCTAAAAATAGTAACTTTATACTAAGAATGAGACTAAATGAAATCAAATGAGATCACTTTCTTATTTTTTTCAAGTCATGATTTCATTTTAAGATCTGATATATAGTCACTTTATATATTTATTTAATAATTAGTCTTAGTAGAATTCACATCAAGAAATGTATAAGATCAGATTAAATGAAACTAAATGTGAAATTCATAATCTCAGCAGTCAGTCTAAATATGAGAATGAATAATTAAGAGAAATACTATGATATTCATTCTTACTACTTTCTGAGACTTTTATCTCTTTCTTTCTGAGACTTTCATCTCTTTCTGAGACTTCTGTCTCTTTCTTTCTGAGACTTCTGCCTCTTTCTAAGACTTCTGTCTCTTTTTTCTGTATAACTTCTGTCTCTTTCTTTCTGAGGCTTTCACTTCTTTCTTCTGTAAAAGTCAATCACAATAAACAAACAAGCATGTATATATATATATATAGAGATGTCCGCTCATCTTCATCTTGAAGAATAAGACAAGATTTATCTTTTTACATGTATAATACATGATTAGCATACACTACAGATTAGACTGACTGTGTGACCGTGTCTGAAATCAGAATTAAACTTTATAGTTATTATATTATCTAAAAGCATTACTTCTGATTATGATTTGTATTTATCACATTAATCTTAAATTATGTTATTTCAAATATTAAAGGTTTCAGATTCACTTTTCAAATAAAAATCTAGTCTTAAATAAAGAATATATTTGAATTCTTAGTCACATTTTCATTCTGATCTCATTATTGAGAATGATATTAAATGAGATTATGAAATCACTTCTCACTTACATAATATCATAACATAGTACTCATTTGTTGAAAATTCAATAGAGAGTATTATTAAATATCATTACTTTTCTGAGCACAGATCATAATTCATATAATTTTAATTATGAAAAAAATATAAAATATAAAAAAAAAAAACAAAAAATAAAAAACAAAATAAAAACAAGAAAAAATCAGAATGAACAAAAAAAAAAAAAGAAAAGAAAAAGAAAAAAATAAAAAATAAAAACAAAAAAAATCAAGATCACAGAGTCACAGTACTTTCAAAATACTTACTTCTCAGAGTCTTTACAATGTTTATTATTAACTGTGTATCTCTCACAGTGAGAGTAACATGACTGTGATGAGTTATTATCTTAATATTATCTAATAAATAATCAGTATATATCTGTATAAATGTGAATATTTAGAAAACATACACTTAAAAAGTGTGGCCAGGGTGAACTCTGCTGTCACTTAAATAACATTAAGAGCAGAATGCTGAAATTGATGATTTCTTTCATTAATTTCACAGATAAGACAGGTGAAGATGATCTTGAGAAATATAAGATTCTCTGACTTCTGATAAAAATGAATCTCACAGAGAGACTCTATTTTCATGATATCAGAGACTAAGTGTTATTAAAAAGCATTACTTTTATACAATGTATATACACTTACTGTGATGATTCATTCTCTGTGCATGTGACTGAGAATTGCAGCTTTCTCACACTGCACAGCTCTCTCTGAGATGCTGACACTGATTTGCAATTCACACAGTCTCTCAGTTCAGTATACACTGCATATATACAGTTCTGTATACTGAGGTCATGTTGATCATTATAACCTGATATGATACTCACTTTTCACAGATCATGTTTTATTTGAGAAGAAGAAGAAAGATGTAACTGTGGTTTTATTAAGAGAAAATGAATAATTAGTAATATTAAATATAATTTGATTCTTCTGCATTTAAAATTTGATTAGTCTATACTCTTCAATTTGAGAGTTTCTAAGAGTGTTTTAATAGTTTTCATACTGACTTGAACTTAGTGATGAATTGAAGAAGAAGAGAAAAGAGAGAAGAAAGAAATAAGAATAACTTATCTTTATAATATAAAAACAGAGAATCACTGCAATCATTCTTTCTAGTAACAAAGATCTGTTTTCTGTATATATTTCTGATATAGATTATATAATAACTGTATACAAAGAATATCAACACTGCATGTATTGAATGAAGATAATATTGCTATACAACACTGTAGCTGTTTCTGTATATCTCTAAAAGCTGTTAATATTTTCTTTGTCTCTTTATATTTGATAAGTCAGTAATATATTTCAATGCACTCTCTCTTTCATCATTATCATTATTATTATTATTATTATCATTATTATCATCATCATCATCATCATTATCACAATTATTAACATCATTATTATTATTATTATTATTATATTATTTCTGACTATCTCTTCTGTCTTCATCTCTCTTCAATACTCACTGAAATTAATTATATCATCTCTCTTCAAATATTCTGCAGTTCTGCGGATCATCAAGGCACGTGAGCACTGTCACAGATTGAAGAAAGAGAAGAAGAAGATGTTCAAGTAAGAGAAGACAGATTGTAAGACATGTTATAATGCCTTGAAGAGGCTCTGTAAGAGAGTAGAATGATAATGATTTTAAGTAACACTTCTGATAGATTTAGACTGAACTAAGTATAGAAATAATGCAGATGACACTGTCTGTGAGAGATTGAAGAAGAAGATAGTGAAGAGTCTCATGCAGTAGTAGTGAGATCAGAAGAAGTCTTAAGAATGATTTGAGTTCAAGATAAAGAGAGAGAGAGAGAAGAAGAGTGTTACTATAAATAAGTAACAGCAGAAGAAGATTAAGAGAGTGTTGAAGTAAGAGATAAAGAAGTTAAAACTGATAAGTTTTTTACTTATTGAAAGATAATAATTTTTGATAATACTTCTGTTCTCTAATTAATTAGCAGAAGCTGATAGAGAAGAAGAGGATTAAGATCTTATTCAGATCTTGAATGCACTTCATAATTCAGAACATTGAGAAGACAGCTCTACTCTTTGAGTATGTCAATCTACTTACTGCTGAGATGGAACCTGAGGCAGCAGATCAGAAAATGCGGGATTTTGAGATACAGATTGATCTGACTGAGAAGAAGCAGTGAGAACTCTTCTCTGAGAAGACAGTGAAGAGAGATTTTGAGATGATTATTATCTCAGATAAGAAGAAGAAGAAGAAGAAGAATAAGAAGTGAATTATGAAGAATAATAAGAAGAATGAGAAAGAGAAGAAGTAGATTTTTTTCTTTTTATATTAGTTAGTTATAAGTTTAAGTTTTTAATTATTAATAATTAAAATTGATTTTGAGTTTTCAAAAATTATTGTACAAGTTGTAATCAAGTCAGGAATAATATATATATATATATATATTTAACTATCATGATTCACAAATCACTATAATATATAAGTATCAACATTTTTTCAACATTGATATTCATAATATTAATATATTTTTAATGATATTATCTAGTAATGTAATTTGATAATGCTCTCTTTTACAATATTAATATATTTCAAGAAATATGACAGAGATTAATCAAGATTGTTTATTTACTTTTATACATCAATGATATTCAATCTGAGTTAGTACTAAAATTATAACTAAGCTAAGAAACAAGATTATTTTCTCTTATATTAATTCTTCTTACACACATCAGTGATCAGTTATTGAAAATAAATTGTTATCTTTCTTAAATTATTATCATATCTTCTGAATTCACTTCTTTCACTTCTTTTACTTCTATTGAAGATTCACAAACTCTTCAAGAAATCACTGTGAATTACAAAGTCTATGTTATTTACAATTCAACACAGAATGCTCTCTTTCAATCATGATAAATAATCACTTCATTCTTCACATCTGATTTCAGGTCATGAAATTTATGAAAAACTCAACATAAATATTGAGATAAACTATGAAATAATTATCAACAGATTGTATTACAGATTATTAAAGAGTCATCTCTCTGCTACAATCACTGTAACTTCATTCAGAAATATTTATCATGAACTAATCATAGCTCTGAAGAAATTTTCTGACATCTGAAGTTATCAGAATGCAGACAATAAAAGAAAAATAATCAGAAAATTACTACTGAGCTGATAAGTTACTCTATCAGATAATGATTTTTAATAATGCTAACTTTCTAATTTGAAGAAAATCATGTAAAAATAATTATATATCAGTACTCTGATTTCACAACTCTCATCTGATAACTTCTATGAATAATTACTTCATATGTGTATATCTCTGAATTTTTCTCTTTAATTAATTAAAAACTCTGAATTCTGAACACTTCTTTAAATACTTAATTCAAATCTTCATATTTCATATTGATTCTGTCTTCAGTTCAATCTTGAGATACACTAT